GTCGTCATATCTCACGGTCCACTACACTTGGCGTGAGCGCTCAAGGTAGCAGGAGCATACAGTCCTTCAGCTTACCGTCGTGTGGGTGATCGTAGGATCAACTATCTCAGGATCGACTTGGATGGGGAGTGCGAAAACAGCACCTGCGCCTCCACGGACAGTGACGCGCAATGTAGACCCTACTACCCCCGGGCCTGGTAATAAAAAAATCGACACCTTCTGCAGGATAGCCAGCCATTGAAAAAATATGCGAGCTGGTTTGAGTGGATGATGAGACCAGTGATCATGACTGCCCTACCTTTTTACCCGCGATTCAGACCCAGCATTTCAATCAATGCCTCCCATTGGTCTACTTACATGTCCAATGACATGAACTCAAGGCAGACAATTGGGAGTCTGACTGCAACTCTCGTCATTCCCATAACTGATTAAATTGAATCGGCCGGGATTATCGTTTGCCGTTGATACAGGGGTACACATTTACCTGAGCTTTCTGTCAAAACGAGGAAGCGAATGCGACTGGAACCAAAAGTCTTACCGAAATTTACAGGCGACAGTTCCGGCCCTTTTCATCAAGAGGTCAGCTGAACATACCGAACTGTCAGAGATCAGAAGGGCATATCCTACATACTTATCGAAAGTGTGAGAATACCCCGTTTCATTCAGAAGTCAATTACTTAGTCCATTCCAACTGTCACCGTTCGGGAAGAGGGATGCGAAGAGAATGATCATATATTACACCCGCACCTTGAGTCAAAAGGAAGCTTCAGCCTCGAGGTGCGGAGCAAACAGCTGACCAGTGGCTCGAGGCTCTAATTATTTTAGCTCCACTTTAGCTGAGCATCGTGTGCGTGTATGTAACATACGGTCTGAACGAATGCCAGCGTGAGGTAGACTCGTAACCATTCTGCCTCCCTAAGCGTGAGGGCTTCGGCAAATTCATTGGCTGAAAACTGGGGTTCAGGAACACTACGAGTAATTGGATATACCACGAGGCGCTCATTACAATCGATGACTTGAATATTCCCCTCGCAGGGTTCTTCAGGTTCATTGCGTAGTAACGTGAGTTGGACAAGAGACCGTACTAAGGACAAGCGTAGATTTTTAGAGGATGTATAAGAACATCGAGGGTCACATACTGGTTGGTCGGGAACGACGGTGATGAATGTGTGTTGAGATCTGAGGCAAGTGTCCTATCCGTGGACATGGCTCGCGCAGTGACTAGAGGAGAATCTGAGTATCGGAGTTGTACGTAGTACATAAAGTACGAGCGGAGCTTACCGAAATAGATGACGGACATGCTCGCCTCCTCAGAGTGAACTATCTTAGTCTGTCCGTGAATACATCCCACACAACCAGAGAGTACGAGAACATAAGATTCTTGACAACGTGTGGTTTCTTCGAGTTGCTGCGGAAGTTCCCTCTTAGTACATAGTTATTAGCTCTTCAGGCTAGCGGCCCGTGGAAACTTGTTATGTGTTGGGGCGTTGAAAAGATAGTAGAACGTGTATTAATACAAGATTGGGCCTGCTTATGGTATTTACCCATGTTGTGCCCCTGACGACATTGGGGTCTGGGGTTCATTAGAATGTAGGACTACGGCAGAACTTTGAGAGTACGTGGGTAGACTCTACCATGGACTACGCGTAGAAAATTGTAGAAAATCCGGGAGCATTACTAATTCTTTTCGTGGAAAGTGAGCCGAATCCATAGACCATTCGTAGACCATTCGTAGACCATTCGTAGACCATTCGTAGACTTACGTAGACTTTCCGTAGATCGACCAAACAACTTCAGCGGAGTTTATTGCCTCGGCTGTGATCATTGCCTGGAACAGCGTCGGGCATATATACGGCAACGGCAAGCCAATGTTTTCGCCATCTGCCCCCCCACTATGTCACTTTGCCTGGAGCAGCGTCTGGCGCAACGGCAAGCCAATGTTTTCGCTATCTGCCCCACCGCTATGTCACTTGGACCTACACCTGCTACAAGTTAGACTGTTACTAAATCAATGTGCACAATATGTGCACAATATCCAGGACGAGTCGCCGTCTCAGTATAAAATTTGTAGTATGTTCACAGTGACTTTTCTTCGTAGGATGTTTCACTGACGTGGTATGACTGATACGGTCCTGTGTACCAAAGCTGACTGCCGCAACTTGAAGCAGGGTACTCAGCCACGGAAGGCCAACAGGAACTGCATACGACGCTACTGCAAGCAGTGTTGTGAGGTGGTGGGAGGGTGTAGGGTCCACCGAGTCGCATCCATATCTCCTCCAGTTGCTGCTCAACAGCATGAAAGCTCGATCATACCACCGCTTGCCACCGTTAACCCTACATCTACTCAGCTTGACCACCCTCCAGTTACTATACCTGAGGGCCCCTCGACTACATCCCAATCTTTAACTACCACTCAGTCGCTCCCAGCTGCTTCACGAGTTTATGCCCGGCCGTTAGACCCCAATTACGCACGGAACTATGTTCTTGGGCACCAGCGGACGTTGGTGGCTGAACAGCGCTTTCAAGCCGACCAAAGTCTGAGTATCATGATCCGCAATATGATCGATGTAGTCCTCTGGTTGAAGGTGTGTCTTCTACATTTATTTGATGGTTTCTTGGCGCTGACTAGTCAACTCGAATAACGCTAGAACAACGACCCTCCCCACCTGGTGAGGCTTACATGCACCACACCTGGAAAGTTCGTGCCAGGAGACCATTCGCTATTGATGAGATTCGACCTCGGAGACTATATCGCAGTATATTGCAGTGATCAGCATGCCTGGATCGAGCAAGACATTAAGACTCCACTTCTCAGTCCCCCGAATTCAACCATCCTCCTCCGCTCTATTGATCTCACTGACAATCACACGCTACACGGATTCACTGAGAGGGTCTTATCCCTTAGTCGCACGCCTGCAACCGTCCAATCTCCGTCAAAGCGAGCCTTTAGTGCCACGGGTATGCATCTCTCCCGATTGGATGGGATCACCTCGCCGTTGAAGTGGCAGAGGAATGCCAGTAGTAACAATGCTGCGAGCCGGGTTCTCATCTCTCCGCAGTTGCCCACTCCTTTACCGCTTATCGAATCACCTAGTCCCACCGTGACGTCACCTCTGTCACTCACCGCAGGTGACTCGGACACATCACCTGCGTCAGCCACGGTCCAACCTAACGCCTCTGCTACTGTCCCTCCAGGTGCCCAAGCATGATTTCCTTGGAAGTATGCATGCGATATGGTTCCCCGTATTCAGCTCTTCGTCGATTTATCAGATGATCAGATGATCCAGACCCTCTTCGCTACTACTTTTCCAAATTGCACCTATACTAAGGCAACATTTTATAAGCATCGTGCCGCTTATCGGGCAGCTATCAGGAACTCGGGGGATAAGGTGGAATATGCCGTCAATGCAGGATATAGTCCCGCTGGCCTGTGGAACACTCTCTTGGCGGAAATCAAAGCTAACACCCTCAGTCTTACTGGTAGTAATGGCCTGGGTAGCGTCTCAAACTCGGATGTGAAGTGTAAGTGTAATCTGATTTACTAATTCCACGATTGGCTAATCCTTGTCCTTCAGGTCATATACTGCCTCCGAGTTTACTATCAATGGACCCATCTACCACTGACACTGAATTACTCCTTACTCCGAGTTTACTACCAGCAGACCCATCTACCACTGACACTGGATTACTCCCTACTGACTTAACCGGTGATATGAGTGATGCTCTTGCGTCACTATTCTGGAGCATAGAGGAGATGAACCATGATACCATAGCAACCACCAATTCTGAATTTCCATTAGATTTTACGAGTTATCCCCAAATTGATCCCTTTCCCGTCGATACATTTCCCGCTTGGTTAAATGATCCCTCTCCTGTAGATTATTCATTTATGGGACCTGACGGTCGAGCCTTACCATCCTTACCACCTTTTCAATTAGACTAATTATCGCACCGAAAGTTCTACTAGTTGATTCAACTGTTTATTATCCATGAAAATGTGACCTCCTTCAGAGTCCGTCTGATGCAGGTCTTGCTCTGCCAAATCTATGGGATTTTCCAGTCGACTGACAACGCATGGGAGCTCATCCATTACAGGTTGCACGGTGTACCAAAATCATTCTCCAGTCGACCGACAACGCATGGGAGCTCATCCATTACAGGTTGCACGGTGTACCAAAATCATTCCTGTTGACTGATGGTAGGTCCACTATACAGCAACCCCGAAACGGTTCATAGAATGTATCCCCACCTACCGCGAGTCAATCCGGTTCCAGCACATCGTCCAGCATTCAAGCTAACTTTACTTTGAAAATGCGTGATTTGGGACCAGCTCTGAAGGCGGCATATGTACGGCGCGTGCAGCCTCGGCTTTCTTGGGGATCTATTGGAGGCAGGGTTGCCGTAGTGTAAATTTCGAAGATCTGCACGTTAGACTTGAACGCTGGAGGAAGAATTTCAAAGATCCGCAGACGGCGCTGCGCGCCATCACAAAACTCTTAAGATTATGCTCGTGCCTCGATAGAGTGACAACATGCACACAAGAGATAGAATTATAAACAACAAAAATCTAGACAATGTATGTAGTGCAAACTATGTAATTATGTAATACGAACAGCACCGGTGCACTAGTCACTGCCAAACAGAGCATCCATAGAAATCGTCCAAGGAGAATGTCCTCGTCTCTCTGACTCTGAGATAACATAGTGGTTCCGGCGTTTGATCATTTCATCAAGGTAAAAGTTATACCGGTATACAGACATGTCCCGCAGGATTGCCTGATACCCACCTAGCCATACATTTGTCTGTTCGCAAATCGAGGTATTGAATTGCCACTTGCCACCAGAAATGAGCTCTGGGAAAGCAGCAGGGTTGCAGTGCTGCTGACAGTAGGTGTCAGTTTCCTTGTGTTTCGAGTTGAAGTGAAACACGTCCACAGGCATCCCTGTTGCGGCGAAGTGGTCATCACCAATAGCATCTTGGTGAGCACGGAGCTTGCAGTTGTTGTCGAAGACGAAAAATTCAGGTGTTGATGTGGCAGTAGGAAATACCGTCTTTGCAAATTCCTTGAGTTTAAACGTTAAGGGTTAGCGCGCATCAGTGAGACTGTATATAACTCACATTAACAGCGGAGACAGCCTTGGACCCAAAAAATGTAGCCCGCGCTAATATCACCCCACAAGGCCGCATGATAAGCTGCTCATTATGGGTTCGGCGTCGACCAAACCTTGCTCTGAGGTGTCTGTTGCCGTTCTCCAGCTTACCGTCACACTCAGAGTCAAGGATCACCTCGAGATCTTCGTCTGCGCTGTTAGAGTTACTACCGCCACTATCAGAGGCTGAAGGAACAGAGTCCAAGGGCAATGTAATGCCAGCCCTCTTGAGCTGCGCTCGCAGCTGGAAGAGAGCTTTTGCAGGCTTGAAGTAGGCGTCTTCAAGAGCCTGGTGGTCCACATTGCCGCATGTTCGAGATCCAGTGGTATGGAGCTCATCACAGCCATCGACCACGCACCGCTGGTTCAAGTCTTGATGGTCTGGACAGAAATGATGACGGTTGGTCATAAGCGGGACTTTGCAGTCGTGCACTGCGCAACAAGGGTGCCCGATAGTATTACCATCACAAACAGCTGCTTGGATCTTCGCTGCGGCGTGGAATCAATCTGAGTATGATGCCTTGCGCTTAACAAATGATTGACTTACTTTTTGGGTCGTCACCGATGACGATGAAGCATAAGTCACAGGCATGCGGGTATGCTTCCTGCCCAATACCTTCCATTTCCTTGTTGCGCTCACTCAGCGCAACGTCAATTCGGGTCCGTTGTTGCTCATCGTGGGGAAGAACGAGGCAACTGTTATGCTCTGCCTTCTCCAGTAGCAGTGAGTAGATAAAAAAAACCGTTCAGGACGTCAGTGTCGCGCATTCGAAGGGTATACTGCCATGAAAATTCCTCGTCGAAAGCTTGCGAAAGTGTAGTGTCAAAAGCACGCCTATTGTTCGACATGTAGGCGTGCCGTTGAGCAAGTGCGTAGTTGTACACGCGAGCGCAGTTCATACTAGACATCCTGAAACAAAAGGTTACATCAGAGAAAGACGAGAATTTGCCACGTACCATCCGAAGACTTTTGTTGCTGCAAATAATTCCAACAGCGCAGCTTCAATATAGAAATGCCTTGTGGCTTGAATGACGCCGGGAACACCAGCATAGTACATGCGTGTCGAGTCGGCATTGTGAATCCGATAGTTGGGGTAGTATCTGGTGTGGCATTCTGGGTGAAGTGGTCAGTAGGCGTTACTGGAAGATAACGAACATACGACGACAATATGTTGATACCGAATGGACCGGGAGGGAGCCATCTCGTAGCGTAAAGAGGCTAGCCCGAAATTTATTGACATCCGTGAGAGTGGCTACTTCATCGCCATCACGGTAGTTCGTGCACTCAGGACTCTGGCATACACGTGTCGGCGGATACAAGTCGTGATATTGTCATGAATGTTACCAACTGCACCTAAATTTCGATTATCAAACCCTAAATCACCTTATCCGATAAGATTAGATTAGATAGATCCCTGATAAGATAAGATGGATAACCGGCTAACGACCACTATCTTTACATCACATCTATACTATATCGACGTCATCCATCTATATCCGTAACCCTAAGATAACTGAACTCATCACATCCTTAGAAGTCCTACGATTAGGCAAACGGGTTACATCATAAGCATCTACGGGCCTCTATGATTAAACCATAACCGAGAGTCCCTTACGAGTTATCTCTCGAAGAAGTCATCATCCCTTCACATCGCACACCTTCACTTCTCATGACATGTTAAGAGTTACCTCTGTCATTCACCGAACCCCTTACATTAGAACCTGTTGCACAGTCACAGCTAAACCCTGAACCCCTATCACAGAAGCATCGCTCATAGAGAAGCATGTTTCATTACCGAAGACCCTGGAGAATCCCTAGATACAATCGCACCCGATACATCTCCAGATCCAGATCCTTCTAGATCCTCAGATCTAGATCCCAAGATCCATCTCTTATCGAGATCCTTAATTACCGCTCGAGACTTCTTGTCACAGAACTCTCTCACACCCTTCTTAATCTCCGTCTACCCTGAATAGAAGCAGTCCCTGAGAACCCTGCTTAATTACCGATACCCTTGGCCCTATGAACCCTTTACCCTTCTCTTCTTGTAGTTGATTGGTTGATAAGACGCCCTATACCCTAGGTGCAATGTTATGACCGTATATAGTTATATCACATACCTTTCATACTCAGATAGCTCCGCCCCAATAGTAGTATATAGTCTAGGTAGTAGTCAGTAGTACTCCTTAGACTTAACCTCCTCGTTTCTACGTTATCGTAGGGCCTAGACGTTCCCTCTCAATTCTATCTCGCTTTATCCTTCTTCAGACTGAGTCCTGTGGTGTGATTGATCTCCAAACACCTACTAGTTAGGTTAAGGGACGTTGGTCATAACAGATATCCTATGAGGTTCAAACATGTCAGTGAAGGAAGCGAAACGATGAACAGCAACGCACCAATACCACGCATAAATCCATGACGGTTAAAAGCCTCAATCTCCTTGTCAGTTGGGAGTACTGTACCATGAGTCCAAATAACCTGACGCAATGCTACCCAGCATGCAAGGATAGTGGGTCGGTCTTGGCCAAGTGCGCCAGCAAGAAGGAGTATAACGACTTCTGGAGGGTGGGTGGGTGGATGGCAGATGTCGGTCATGCACTGGTGAATGAATGGTTTCGCCATGCATGCAAGCCGAACGAAGGCCGTGAGGTCGGAGAAAGTGAGATCAGACGCATCCAAGGACGCAAGCAACTGATGGATGTCCGTCATGAAGGGGATCAGAGGGACGTCGATGATGATGAGGAAGGGGATCAGAGGGACGTCGATGATGGTGATGAGGATGAGGATATATGTCGCTAATAATGTTGTTTGGTCGTTCTACGTAGACTCGCGTAGACTGCGGTAGACTGCGGCAGACTGCGGTAGACTGCGGTAGATTCTGCGGAGTTATCCGAACTGAGTCTACCAATTTTCTACGCGAGTCCACGGTAGATTCTACGTAGATTCTACCCATGCACCTTACATGCCCTCGACTACGGGAGCTAAGAGTCGGAGGAATGTCAACATCCGTGTTCTTTGCGAAATGTCTGATGGATTGTAGCTATTGCAGATTTTTCGAGTCGTATGTACTTACTTGAACACGATGGACGGTATGAATTACACCATGAAATCAACACAGGCCGCTATCCTCTGCTCCTTGAATGATACTGCAAGATTTAACCCTGTGCGTCCAAGGTTGCGTCTCCTAGGTTGGAGACCTCAACCCCCATTGTAGTACCAATATAATGTTCAGCTTAAGAGTACCAGTTCCATTGCGATACCGCTCATGATTCCAATTTCCAACTTTGTTATACAACACAGGACATCATACTATCAAGAATACGCTGCCCACGCCGTCACACGCATCACCGACTGCCATCCACTAGACCCAAAACATGGAAGTCTCCTCTGGCTCAGGGATTACAACCGTCTGCGGCTGCCCATCCACGAATTTGGTGCATGTTTGTCGTAAGGTTCGCACCCAGACACAATGATGGCCTGGTTCGATAGGAATGAAGCGCATCCTCGGCACGGATTCTTCGGGCTCCATGAAATTAGTGATGCTGACATGGATCACGTTTGGGGTATCGTTGTGAGCAATGATAACTCCTGGCATGGTAGTACCTGCATGTGTGTCCAGAATAATTATTTTGAACTTGACGTCAACCTTTGAGCACACCTTTGCAATTAAGTCTTGCGGAAGATTGAGATGAGACTTCGTTGAAGAGGTCAAGATATCTGAAAACAGGGTCAGACAGAAGGAAGTACCACATCAGATCTCGAACTCACTCAAATCGATTGAAGGAGCGATGGGGGACTGCAGTCGCGACGTCGAGTATTTATACTCGCAGATAGGGACTCTCTTCTAAGCTCAGATCCAAAAGGACAATTATTGCCTGCAACAAAAAATAATAATAATGCGAAGCAACCAACTTCATGTGGATCCGACGAGCAGATCTGACCTTACGTGCGCCAAGTCAAAATGGCCCATCTAAACCGTATCCTTCCAATAGGGTTTGCGCTTATCTAGGGGTCCAGGTGTGCTTCATAAGCATGTTTTAGTGTTGACAAGTTAGAGGTGGATGAAGCAACTGATCCCTGCTAGAATACTGATCATATGGATTGGCGCAGTTTGTATTCGGAGGAATGATCAGCACCGAACCTATAGAACATTATCGAGCCCCCTCAGAACGGTTGATCCAATCATAAAGCAGCCCGATCTTCCATTACAAGATGCGATGGGGCGCATTGAGTAGGACTAAACCTAAGGGATCTAGTGTATACCGGCTTAGATCTACGCATACGCAGATGGCGATGACAAACACGCTGAGGGCAATGATTAATGGGGCTTGAGCACGAGAAAATGGTCGTATTTGATATTAGACATACACAATTATGTAAACACAACAAAATAATTTGTACACCCATAATAGTCAGGAGTTACAAACATTCCTTGATTTCGCTTGCGAGGAACGGCACAGGTGACAAGAGTAAGTAGTCTTCTGATATAGAGATCTTCCCGGCAGTGCCCTGACGCTTTCATTGTAAAAGAAGGTAATACATTTCTGCTTGCGAGGAATGTAACATCGTCGGTACGGCACAGTGACTGCAGGAGCCTCGGTGAAATCAAGTTTGATGGTTTACGTCTACGGCTACTAGTACCAGAATGGTCCACCCGTTCAATGCGCCTCATGACGCATCTTGTAATGGAAGATCAGGCTAATTTCTAATCAGATCAACCGTTCTGAGGGGGCTCGATAATGTTCTATAGGTTCGGATTAATTCTAGCAGGAATCAGTTGCTTCGTTCACTTCTAACCTGTCAACACTGAAACGTGCTTGTGAAGCACACCTGGACCCCTAGATAAGCGCAAACCCTATTGGAAGGATATGGTTCAGACGGGCCATTTGGACTTGGCGCACGTAAGGTCAGATCTGCTCGTCGGATCCACATGGAGTTGGTTGCTTCGCATTATTTTTTTTGTTTTTGCAGGCAATAATTGTCCTTTTGGATCTGAGCTTAGAAGAGAGTCCCTATCTGCGAGTATAAATACTCGATGTCGCGACTGTAGCCCCCCATCGCTCCTTCAATCGATCTGAGTGAGTTTGATCTGACGTGGTACTTCCTCCTGTTTGACCCAATTTTCAGATATCTTGATCTCCTCATCGAAGTCTCATTTCAATTTTCTGTAAGACTCGATTGCAAAGGTGCGCTCAAAGTTTTACATCAAGTTCATAGTAATCATTCTGGACACACGGGCAGGCACCACTATGGCAGCAGCTATCGTCTTTAACAACAACTCCACCGCAGTGGTCAACGTCAGCATCACTAATTTCATGGAGCCCGCAGGCTCTGTGCCGGGGATGGAGTTCCTTGCTGTCGACCCAGGCACTCAAAGGATCTGGCTGCGAACCTTAGTTCAAACATGCACCGTGTTCAGAGGCGCACTCCCGGAGATCAATGTCATTGAGCCTGGGGGGAACGACGCTATTGATATCCAGTAGATGCAGTTGATGACAACGTGTTCTTGCTAGCATGATGTGTTGTCTTGTATTGTGTTGTATAACAAAAGTTACACCAGTAAACTTGCTACTCTGTACACGTTTCGATCGTCAACACGTCAACATTATAATTGGTACTACGGAGGTCGGTTTCCAACCTATAAGATGAAACGCCGCACGCGCAGGCTGGTATCAGAGGCTGAACGTCTGTCTTCAACCGCGGTATTACTTATTACAATTACAGTGTGATCATCGATGCAAACGGCTTTGGATTTGTAATGCCCCATGTAGGTGATGTATATATCACCTGGCTGCATACCTCTCGCACTATCCTGGCACTCGCCCTGCCTTGATGCTTGGCTCCTCTATTAATGTTGCCACCTTTCCGACTCTCGCCGTAATGCTTAGTTTATATTTTGTCTATCCTGCTGCGTTTGTGATGCATCCTATGATGTATAGTTTGTCGTGACCATCACTATAGTACTCTGCACCCAATGAGATGCGCACATATTCCATCCCGCCTGGGCACTCCTGTCCATGGTATGTAAGTCCAAACTCGCTACCCAAGTCCGCGTGTACGTTGTCTTACCAAAGATGATTAAAATGGGTAGACACCTACATAGCGCTGCCTGCTGTTTGGCATATGCAATATAGCCGTTGCAGTCAGCGACGTCTAACTCGTCCCATAGCATTGCTTCCCATTGGAAAAAATAAAATCCTTCGCTTCTCTTCCTTCAGTGGTTCAACTTCTTCTGCCCACCTCATTGTTCGTGCACGAGCCTTGCACCACTCGATCCGCATGAGACATCATTAAATTTTGCATTCAAGCAACTCCTCACGATCTTCTTCGCTCATAGCCGCGCCTCTCATTGTTCATATCAACGACAGAGTTCTTTGTCCCTTGTATCTCACCGTCGAGCATGTCACGAAGGAGATCAGCGACAACGTACCCCAAAATCCACGCGATATCAAATAAAAGGGTTGTGTACCTTGCCAGAGTGTTGTAAGAGGGCTTCTAAAGCTGCTGCGAGTCGTAGGCAAGTAGAAGAGGACATGCAAAGAAAGATAAATGAAACGAAACACGGACCTTGACATTTTACCTCGAATGCATCGCCTTACTTGGCTCTGCATGGGCATTGGAACAGTGTTATGAGTGCTGCAATACACATGGAGTACGTTTGTTGATGCAGCCGAAGGTACTGGGAGGAAATAGTGGTGACTCCTTACATTAGCGCCCAGCATCTGCAGCTGCAAGGTCGAGTCGTACGCCAACAGTAAGTGATAGCTATATCCAAGAAAGACGGCGCCGTGAATTCCATATAAGAACAAAAGTGTGCCCGCCCCTGCGATCTTCCATCCGACAACGTAAGGAAGATGTCCAGAAAGATAAATATAAATACGAAAAAGATTATTTCCTCTCGTAGTCTCTTGAAAGGTCAATCTCGCCCTTCAAGTGCGTGTTAGTAATCTTGGCTTGTCGTTGTCGTGGCGCGGCGCGTTTGCCCTTCTTCTTATTTGACGGTGCTTTGGGGATTGGCGTTTCTTCTGCGGTAGCCTGGAGACCCTCTGTATATTCCGTCAGACAAAAAATGAAAGGGAGGGGTTCGAAATACGTGCCAGCATGCAGCGCTTTGAGCAGGTCAACGTCGTTTGGCACCTTCAGCGAGTGCCACAGATCGAAAAATTCTACAGGGAACATTCAGTAGGGGGGTTATACCAGGCAGCATAGCCAGAACTCACCTTTCTCGACTTGCTTCCCCCCACTCTCGTCATCCGGCTTGATCTCGTTCCAAAACACCATCCGCAACTGACCGTCCTTCACCGTCCTTGTCACAAGAACCTCCCCCTCTTTCTCCAGTTCCTCAATAGCTTGCGGCGCCTCTTTCCACGACTCCTTCAGCGCACGAACAGGGATACCGCCTCCTTTCCGCGTCTGCCGTTGTATTTCTGTGAGGAGGGCAACTTTATTCCGAAAGCTGAACTCATGCTATGCTATGCGTCAGCACGGTTCTGGTCTGCGTCGGTGAAGCGGGACACACGCGATACGAGTAAAGATCAGTCTTCGGATCCCACAAAATCCGATCGTGCGATTTGAATTTCTCCAGCAGGACCATATCAGTGTCTAGCGGCGTGTCCGTAACGATCGCTATATCCTGGAGACGCATGGGATTATGCGTCGACTATGTACATCCCAAGCTCATCGTTAGCATAGTTTCAATGGTCAAAAAAACACTGTATTACCTTCAAATGGTCTATCGCATAGACAAGCTGTGTATTAATATTGGTTCCAGTTCCAGTGTCCGCAGGTTGTGAATACACGATATCTAGAGAATAGGAATAGGGTCAGAACACTTGGAAAGGTACAAGCACTGGATCGAGACGTGCTCGGCTTCGGTCGTTTCTTCTTAGTAGCGCTTGGTGTCGCTTCAGAGGTGGATGCGGAGACTGATGCAGATGCAGATGTAGATGCAACAGATGGGTTGGGTGGTGCGGGCTGCGAGTGCCATGAAGTATAGTCCTGACGATGAAGGACTCGTTTGAAGGCGTCAGCATCTTTTCCGAGAGACATGGTGGTTGACGAGGAAGAGCTGCCTTCTGTGGCTTGCGCACATGTCAACATCTACACACATGCACATTAATTGTATTCCAGCTGGGACTACAGTATTCGGCAACCATTGGTAAGCATCGTACTTCAAGTCACAAAGGACCTGATGTTCATTGCGTCAGGTCCATCTCTCGAGATCCAGAAGTCTACCCTGAGCGCGTTCAAGCCTCAACGTTGGATTGACGACCAAGGTCGCCTGAGAGACGATTTAAAATTCTTTGTCTACGGGTTTGGTCGGCGGTAAGCCCCATCTTTCAGTTATTGGTTCTTTGAATGACACTCCTACCAGTGCATGCCCCGGCCAACATGTCGCTAACAGGTACAAAAATATCCTTCCACGCACATCATATTCCGAACTCACTTCGACCAATATAGATCAGTATTCATCAACTCGCTCCTTATTCTTTGAGCCTTCCGGCTTGCTCTGGATCCTACGAAGCCGTTGTATGACATGGGGTACATGAACGGAGAGATGTCAAAGCGACCATGCGCAATTGAGTTTGAGGCAAAGATTCCGGACACGGAGCTCAGGCGCATGATGCAGAATTATCCCGAAGTTGCATGAGAAACCTTTACGCTTGGATGGATCGCCCCGAGAAGACAACGAAGAACCAGTTCGGAACGAATCACCAATTCGCGCACGCAGCATCACTCTAAGACTCATGGTGTCAGGCCTTGTCGCCTTTGTGAATGTAGTCAACTTATACATTGTTGTTTCACTTTTCCTCACAGTCGATGCACCTGGCCTTTACCAGACTGACACTCGTCCACATATCCTATTCGGTGATGTTGACCTTAAAAGACTTGCTTCGTCTCCGTTCCCATTTACTGGTAAAACCCATCTGAGCAGCCGGCCCGATATCTCCGTCAAAACGTCATTCCGACGTCCCGCGTCACGACCAATCTGATGAGGGGCGCAGCGCATTGCTCTTCCACGCACCTCCATCCCACGGGACCTGCCCTATTATTAGACAAAGGACAATAGGACTGGAAACCAAGGAGATAACCCGCTATGAGGTGGACTGAATTGACAAACCCTTGAGGTATTCTCTTCAGTTTGGTCCCCATACATTTGGCTTGCGCTCGAGCACTTGCTGTGGATCGTACGATGGCAAAGCGTACTAAGATCACGGGTGAGACCGACGGACCTCTGGTGGTGAAATTCAAAGTCTAGGTGACGTAGATATATTGCAGGAGTTGAACTTGAAGGACGGGCGGCTAGGATCCTCTGATATGAATGACAGGATATACGAATCTTCTGCGGTGGAGACATTCGACGAATTTTACCTCCCGAGGGTAAGTTTCCGTCAACTGGGAATTTACATTCAAAGTCCATCCTCAGTCTCCCTTAACCAGACCGATCGAAGGAAGATAGTCATTCCTTCGTATCAAGGTCTCTTAGGTGAAGCTTGGCCGGGCTAACTATTCTACACAATCGCCAGCCCGAAAAATGCTAGTCAAATCTCGCAACGGTCAATCAACATTGATGGCGGAGAGATACATGGTATGCGAGGTATTACGCATGTGTTACACCTGCATTTCAATGGCCTCCACATCTACGCTCTTCTTATCCTCGCCTTCAGTGCCACTCTCCACGGTTTCTGTGTGAGATTTTATGCCCTTTTCATACTGCTTGTCTATGGGCATGGCGTCGTCCGCAGAGATTAGGACATCAACATAGGTGCCGCGAGGAGGGAAGAAGTACGATGTAACGTAATAAACCAGCGATGCGACCACAAACTTGCATAAAAAGGTGAGCAAGATACATGCGAAGGAGATCAGTAATGCCGTACCCCATACATCCACGCGATGTCGAATAAATGGATCGCATATCCTATCTTGATAGCTGGGTTGATCGAGTTGATAAGGCCGGGAAGCGTGGGCCCAACTGTCACCACCATTGCCAAGACCGCGCGCCAATTCTAAGCAGACAAAAAATATCATGAGGCGGAACATTGCGAGTAGCATCAAAGCTTACAAAGCCCGCGGTGTAGCGATATCGTCCTGAAGGGTCGTACATAGCGGGGACATCGACACAACCTTTATGCACTAGGTAAAACTGTGTAACGCAAAGGTTAATCAACGACCAGACGCAAGCGGGCACGGCTGTAAGTTACACTCACATCGGTGACCATGATACCAGCAAAGGGGCCTAGGAAAATGGTATATCCATCCATGAAATTCAGGAACCCCGCAGCACTGTTGGATGATGATAAGGACTCCACGGACCATGCAGAGGGCGAAGACTGACTTGGCGAGAATCTCCCATGGACACAGAGCCCAACCGCCAATAATGGCACACACTATTTGTCCGCGCCTGATGTTGATATACTGTTTCAAATGAGCAGTTGTTTGTGGAAAGGATATAGTGCTAACCTTGGGACACAGAACTGTCATAATCGTTTCCCGCCCCGAGTGAATTGGCACTGATGTTAGTACCAATAGTTTGTCAATGCGAATACGAAGGAGGCGAAAAAGGCTGCGGCCCGATTCTCCCAACGATCGATTAATAGAAGAGGGTTCCACAGGACTTCGCCGTAAAGCTGTATTCCAGCACTAGTCACAGCAATTCCGACAAAGCTGCACAGTGTAAACACGACGGGTATGACAAAGGGTTGGACATATTGACTGAAAACCCATTAGACAGCAATGTGGATCTCGGATTGGAATTCATACGCTCGTTCATTCTTGGCATAGCGCTGTAGTATTTCGTGAGCAATTGTGGACAGCAGATGTACAGACGTTTCTGGCTCACAGTGAAATCCGGAATATTGACCGATAAGCTGGCATAGATTCCCAAGGCGCTGTTCATCGCGCTGAGCCATTCCCATGAGAAGTAGCTGCCTCCGATAGTTGCATGTTCGGAAAACAAGCCCTCTGAGGCAGGGACCTTTACAAACGCCCAGATGACCATTCCCAGCCACGCTATAGGTGTGAGCACACCCTTTGCGAGGAACAACCAACGAATTTTATGAGGAGAAATGAAAAGAAACGGCAATTGGATGATCCAGTAGAGAAA